GGGGTGATTTCTCACTTTCTGTCTGTCTCTCCAGCAAGCACATGCACCCTGTAGCAAAAATCTCTCTTAACAACAACAACAAAAAAAAGTGGGGCCATCAGGTGGCATGGTGGATAAGGGCACTAGACTCCCACATGGCCAACCACGGTTCAAGTCTCGGATCTGGTGGCTGGCTTTCTCACTTTCCCTCTCTCACTCTCTCTCTGTGTCTTTCTGGTCGAATTAAAAAATAAAATGAATGAATACATGAAATTAAATAAATAATTCTTTTTAAAAAAAAGATACTATAAAAATATGGTATAGTGGCCAGCAGGTGGCACTCCCACACGGCCAACCCTGGTTTGAGTCCCAGAACTGGTGACTTGCTCTTACTTTCCTTTTCTCTCTCTGTCTCTCTCTCAAGCTCATGTGTCCTATAACACATTAAAAAATAGTAACAATAATAAATAAAATTAAATAATTCTAAAAAAAAGGTATAAAAGATTAAAAATGGTACCCCTGTATGGGGCACTTACATGAATAGAGCTTGCAGGATGGGAGGTTGCTCTGAGTGAGTGAGTGAGTGGTGAGGGAATGTGAAAGCCAAGGACATCATTGTACACTACTACAGACCTTATAGACTCTACACTTAGGCTACACTTCCCTTGTAATAACACTTAGCTTACAACAAATATATTGTACAACTGCATAAAAATACTTGTTTCTTTATCATTTTATTTTATAGGTTTTTTTTCTCTTTTTAAGATCTTGCTCAACTGGAACAGCCATGATAAACAAAATGTGAGATTAAATCAAGCACAAGAGCTGATAATACCATCTCGAGACTCAGTAAATACAGCTGGATGAGGCCACTGCTGGTGTGACTGCATGCTGTCTTACAGTAAACCTGTAGAAATAATTCACTCAAAAATAATGATTAAAAGTGTAGTATAGTGGGACCAGCAGTTAGCGTAATGGCTATGCCGCTGGACTCCCACGTAGTCGACCGCGGTTTGTGTCTCAGACCCAGTGGCTTGAAACTCACACCAGGCATGTGTGCATGCGTGCCCAAGATCCCGAGAGGAGAATGGAGGAGAAGGGATTGTGGCATGGCCATCCCCCCTGGGGGGTGATTTCTCGCTTTCTGTCTCTCTGTCTGTCTGGCGAGTGCACGCGCCCTATAGCAAAAACCTCTCAAAAAAAAAAAAGTGTAGTATAGTAATTCTGTAAAACAGTAACAGAGCTGTCTGTTATCAGGTATGAAGTGCAGTACTTTCACATGACTGGCACTGCAGTAGCTTTACTCCAGTGTCACCACGATATGTTGTACTGTGTCACTAGGCTGTAGGAATTTTTCAGTTTCATTGTAGTCTCTCTCTCTCTCCTTTTTTTTTTTTTTTTTTTTTTTTTTTAGTTTTTTCTATAGGGCTCATGCATATACCAGAGAGAGACAGAGAAGGGAAAGTGAAAAAATCACTTTTACACCATGGAAGAGTATCATTTGTATTAATACATTCTTCCCATCGGGGCTGCTGATGGGAAGAAATTGCCACTGACTTTGAGGAGAAGCAAAGAAATACCATTTGAAGGAGAAGGGAGAATCTGATTCCAGATCCCTTCTAGCCACTACTGGCACTGTCAACATGACTCATCACGCTGTCACATCCCCAGGAGGGATGGCCACACTACAATCCCTTCTCCTCCATTCTCCTGTTGGGATTTTGGGCGTGCATGTGGACTCGGCCGGTGTGATTCTCAAGCTGCTGGGTCCAGGACTCCAGCTGTGCTGTCGGCCACGCAGGATGCAGCCACCCTAACCACCATGCCACCTGCTGGCCCTCGGCTCCACTGTAGTCTATAGACTGCGATCACATATGCAGTCCATCCTAGACCCAAACATGTTACGTGGCATGTGATGTGCAGAGGCAGACTGGGCTATCTATTCTGACAACACACAGCTCCTTAATAATAGTGACTTCTAATGGAAATGTGTATTCCTCACCCAGCTGTGGGTCAGCAGGAGGCTCTGCTCCACGGCTTCTCATTCCCAGGGTCCTGGCTAAGGGGGCCTCCAGCATTTTTTTTTTTGTAGGGTTTTTTTTTTTTTTTTTTAGAGGTTTTACATGTAGGA